AACCCTGACAGAACAGCCATCTCAACGCATTCGATACTGCGCAACGTCGGGCGACAAAGGGCGTCAACTGGTTGGACCACCTTCTCAACCAACACAGGCTAAAACACTAAAAGTGCACAGCGGCCGTTAACGATGTTTACGGGGCGATCTAATAATGGCTTGTTAAATTCTAAAAACCCTACCACACATTGCCGTTCTCTGAAATTGAGCCAATATACATGTCTGAGGAACCATTAAACTGGCCACGCAGTACAGCTGAACGGAATGTCGACGAAACCCTTACTCCCTCCGCGTGTCACTACCTTGGACCTCCCTTCCAGCGCATGTCATTAATGCTCCCACATTATCACTATACAAAAAGCGCCTTGGCATTACACAGACACATTCACACTACGTACTATAGCCCATAGCCATCAGATTATGGCTTGAGTGCATAACAACCAATAGACGGTGTCACAATCCTCCTAAACTCCAGGCAGGAATGCCCACACCTGTTCTACTGCAAACCTCTTTGTGAATCATACATCTTGCGCTTACTTTTACCAACATTGTGCTTTTGTTTTGCGATTGTCACCCCAACCACCATACGGGACTTGCTAAACATTTGCTTTTTACAGTTAAATGTCATTGCTCTATTGCTCCATTGCACCAGGTGTTATCTTCATAACATAACGGGGCAGTTTTCGCGCAGCTGTCCTCCGTGATACGATCTGTGCAGGAGAACGACCGACTATTCCTACTGGGTGGTTTCAACGCGTGCGTTGGGCTTGATGCCGCGGTGTGGACGGACGTAGTCGGTCCGTCAGGTATTTGCTCATCCATTGGGAAAGGGACTGACTACTCACCGCGCCACTCACGACCTGAACATGACGAACACAGTTCCCAATGTGGACGTGTTTTATTGCTACGTGTGTACATTCACGGAGTGGTCACCTTCATCTGCTCGACTGTCATCGTGCCGCAGTGCTACATGCGTGAAGTGCGCATTGTACGTGTACTGCGTGGAGCTGAGGGTGGCACTGGCCACAAGTTGCTGCGGGCCAGATTGAACATATATTTTCGTGCATGTATGTATTACTAAGCTGCTGTGAGCCGGCGAAAATTTACTTGTATTTCCTTAGGTACTATTGAGAAGAGGAATAAACTAGAGAATGCGATGGCTACCCGCTTTGGCGATGTCGAATCTGTCGCTTTATTCAGTGACCTGTGTCGCCACATTCGTGCACGGGTGACGGCAGCTGTCGAGTAAACGGTCGGCTGCGCAAACTGTAAACGGCCCGATTGGTTTGATGACAATATTGCCATCATTGATGCCTTGATGTCGGAGAAGTCTGCAGCATTCGGTGTACATGTAGCGAACCTTGCCGACTCCAAGATGAAGAGTCCGTTGCGTAAACTTCGATGGCGACTGATAAGACAGTTCCGTCTCATCAAGACTGAGCAGTGAACGGAGAGGTCGAAGTAGATGAATGCTACGCCGAATGCCGTCAACATCAGGAATTCTTTGACTCCTTGAAGACACTGAGGACGCTGGTGGATGCTACTTCAGGCGCTGCCTGCATACAGACTGAAGACATAATGCAGATCTGGCAAAACACTTCAACTGTCCATAGAGCAACCGTTCAGTTATTGATTGGACTGCGTATCACAGGCTGCAACAACAAAAGATGAAGATGTGTCTTGCCGACACAGCGACACTGGCTGCGACGCAGAGGCCCTTGATCAGTTGCGAAACAACAAGGGCGCTGGAGCCGACGGGATACCACCCGAAGTGTTGAAACATGGCTGACCTGCATCGATACATGCGCTGCATTACTTGGTGCAGCGTGTGTAGTTGCAAGAGGAAGTGCCGGTTGACTTGAGGAATACCCTTGTGTGAGCACTGTACAAGGGCAAAGTGGGCAAGCAATATGCCACGACTTATCGTGGTATCAATACGCTGAGTTGTGTTCGGAAAGTGATGGCACAAATTCTGCTCAACCACCTCGTTACTTAGGTCGCTGGGCCACACATGGCGAAAGAGCGATGCGGATTCGGTTGGGGCCGCAACACCATATACATAATGTACGTAGCTTTTCAACCACATGAAAAGTGTCGATCGCGACACCAGACGTTGTACTCGATGTTTGTAGACTTCAACAGGGACTTTGGCACGGTGAAGCATGAGGCACGGTGGCTGGTTTTGGGTATGTTTAGCTGCTCGAGTAAGTTTTACTGTTTAATTGCATGTCTGCACAGTGGTATGTGGGCGAGAGGGCAGTTGAGTGGACAAACGCGGATGAATTTGCTGCTGCCTGTGGTCTGAAGCAAGACTGTGTCTTAACTCCTGTCCTTCTTAAGATTTACCTAAATGCTATGATGCCTTGTGTTTTTGATGCTACTTGTTCTTACGGTACCCGTGTTGATCACATACTGGTGGTGCGTTGCTAAATATCCGACGTTTCGAGGCCAGAACCCTGGTGATTGAGATAACCATCTTTATGTTGTTGTTTGCCGACGACTGCACGATGTTTGCACGCAGCGCGGATGAGTTGTAGCACATAACGACGGCTCTCGTTTCAACAGCGGACAAGTTTTGACTCACCATGAACACAAACAAGACTGACTTTTTCAGTCTTCATTAGAAATGCAATCGGTTGGTCTGCGGCAAATCCATATTCGTGATAACGTTTTGGAGAACTTATCAAGATTTTGCTGTCTGGAGCGTGCTTTCGACCGGCGTACAGATGGTGAACGAACTGCGCACCCGCGTATCGAAGGCGGCTGCTGTATTTGGTAATTTGGCAACTCGGGTGTGGAGCAATGAGCAGCTGACCGTTGGGACGAAGCTGTTGGTGCACCGGTTGATGGTGCTGACCGTTCTGCGTTACGGCAGCGAAATCTAGACGCTGTACCGGAAGGACATCTCCGATCTGGACAAACTAGTGGAGGAAAGCAGCACGTTGAAAAACCGAAGTTACCTCACCAGTACATGATTAAGGTGCATTTATCACGAACCGATGTTAATGTTAGGTATTGGGGATCAAAGGATGTGTGTCGTCGCTAGTGGCGTGAGCATATCCAGATGGCGGTTGCCCAGGTTCACGAGAAAGTCATGGCGCATCACGAAAAGAAACGCAGGTTGCGAAAGCGGCAAGCGCCAACGGAGTCTAACCCTTCGACTTCAAGTGCATGGCGCTGTAGCACATATGGTTGCGAGTACCTAAGCAAGGCCATGCTGGTAAGCCAACAGGTTGGCCTCAGGGGGCCAATGCCTAAGTGGCGGCGAGTCAAATAATTAAGTAAGCATCAGCGCAGCGCTTGGTAAATACGCTACTTCCGATTCAATCTACTGATCCAGGCCAAATATGCGGCCGATGTGGCGCGTGGTTTTCGTCATCGTTGCACTTGGTTTGTAGGTGTGCCTGCCCCCGTGTACTTGCGTTTCAGGTGTTGGTTGTTTATTGATATCCCATGTGTGGTTTGTAGTTGGTCTAAATGTGGACAATATTCCTACCTGTGAAAAAACTGCTCCAGCAAATTTATTCGCTCCAGAAGACGATCGTTGCTGGGTTAGACGGTCACGGTGCTTGTGACCTTCCAGACTCAAGGAGTGGTTCCATCCGGTGTGGAACGGACTACGGTCCAGCCACCGCCATATGTGCGTCTGATAAGCGTGCTTCCCCACTTGGTCATGAATACTCATACTATGCATGTTGTGTGGGTCGGCCTCATTGATGCAACGCGGCTCCAATCCACATACTCCCGGTCTTTTTCCCTCGGGTTTACACTGGATATGGGTGTGTAGACGGAGCTGTGGGTGATGCAGCGCCAATCACCCATGGTCCCACTTGAGGTGCAGGCGTCTTGTCGCTGTCATATATAGGTCGCATTGACAGGAAAATCCGGAATCAGATGTCGCCAAACATGCGACTGCACTCTACTTCATTTTGTTGGTAATCATCCAGCCATAATCCAAGCACTGAAGCATAGTGGCTCTGGTTACCCTCAGGTACGTTGCGATGGTAAATACAAGCAAAAATGAAACACATAAGTGACTCGCCCACACCAAAACCATTTATTTGGTGAGACAACGTTCTTGATGAAGCACCCACTACCTTCACACTTCTCTTTTTGAGGAAGTGACCTCGTATTGAAAACTGTGTCAGCGTCTAAAGCAGTCTCTCCCGGCTACGCTTGAAAGGGCGGCTGTTGGTTGTTGTTGGTGCGTGAACAGTGACCATCTTAGTTTTGATGGTTTCTGCAAAGCGGTCCGTCTCCAGGACCTCTTTGATGCAGCTGGTCAAGGAAAGCTGATTGGTGTTAGCTTGAATGACCAAGCTGCTGCCTCTCACTGTCTCCGTAGGACATACCTTGGTCACATAGGATCACACAAAAACTTTTCCAGCATTGTCCTAACATGTTGCGAATGCATTTTTTCTGGCAGCATATACCGTCCGCACTCAACGGAAACCGATTCCCAAAACTTCATAACAACCTTATGTGTATGTAAAGCTGCACTCACATTTTATTTTGTGTGACTGATATGTTAAAAAACATCTACCTCGCTAGGGAGGCCAGGTACAAATCAATCGGTTACTCAGCGGTAGCCTATCGGCTACCCGCGCTAACTGCGTGTACGAGTTTCTAAAAAACGACCTATAGCTTGTGGCCGGTGGCCTTCAGTTTGTGCTACAACATTTGATGTCATATTTAAATATTTTGCCATAGGTAATCTAGTGTCTTCTTCATGTTTAACTGAGTGACCAAAAACCCGTTTGAATGAGATGCCTATCCATCCTGTGGCGACAAGGGTTTCTTCCCTGTTCGGCATCACTTGCATCTGACAGTTTACAGAAGGTGGGCCTAAATTTTATATTGCCGAAACAGGGTTTCTATGAGCGTATTTGTCGCGAGTTAAGTTTCAACTACTTCCTTTTGTCGAGCAATTCTTATGGTAGACCTGAAAGTAGACTTCTGAAAACTGCAAATTACATTCAGCAATCTGTCTACATCTCTAGAGGCATCGACCTTTACAATCCGCACGCAACCAGTCCCACCAGTCGCGGCTTGGACTATGAGCTTTTCTCCGATGCATATCAGGGTCGTGTGACGGAGGACGCGCCCAAAGAGAAACTCAAAGTGCCTATTTTTCATTTTCTCCAACGAGTGTCCCATCGTTTGACTGGCATGTTGAAGGGGTAAGTACAGAGTAAATACCACCTTCATATACCCCACTAATGCTACTCTTTCGGAGGACTCTATCATATACTCTTTTGTTTCCATTCCAAATGTTCCTAATATGGGATGTTCATTGTCCAGGCAACTAATAAATGCTTTAACGTATATAGGAGGATTCATTTTCTTGTATTATTTTGCCAATCGTACCGTTTTGTTTTGGACCGTAAAACAAGCTTTCCTAATATTAGCCTATGTATGGAAGTGCGCCACTTTTGACAGTGTCTGCAATGAGTTGTAACGTTGGTGACATCCATTTCCGGTCAGGTCTCTCACTGGGGTTACAAACAGCCGAAGTATGCCCACCTTTCCATAAAACCATGTGCGGTTTCCGCAGCAACACACACCTACCATATACTATATGGAAACTTAAGGACCCAGTAGGCAAACGAGTAAGAATCTCAACTTGTTCACAGTGTGCTCATATGGTTTCACAGGTTGCATTACCTATCAGTAAGCTTATTTTCGCAGCAATATCTTGGGCCTATGATAGCGTCAATGGATTGTAGACGGGATCAAATCCAAGAACTTGACGGGCCAATGAACGGTGCTTGAGCAATGAACAATCATTTACCGCGAGTAAAATCACAACTGATTAACGGTTCCCGTAGGATGGTTGAGGTGAAAAATACAAAAGCAAAAGATATGCGTGTCATCGGTTTAAGCGTCAACCACTGTAAATGCACTGTTGCAAGGCGATAATGGAAAATGGGAATAAAATGTCAGTGTATAAAAGCCAATAAAAGCGAAAGAACACTCATGTACCGATTTCTAGTCTCTATGGGATATACAAACATAACACGAACAAAGCACATAACAACGCGGTTCGTGTAACGATCTATGGGACCAAAACGTCATATGCAATCATTTTTTGAAGATTTCCCAAGCGGAAGCTGAATCTGAAATAGAGATTCTGGGTCGGCAAACGTAAAGGGAAAAGCTTATGGCTGTGTTACAGAAAATGGTGGCAGGTATTATTGGGGTCAGTGGATTTTTGGTACACCAACATGAGGACTCCGCCTAGCATGTGGTAGGGTCCACTGTAAATTCCCACTAACGTCAGCCCCTACTGGCAAGACTGGTTGCACAGACACTTGACGTTCTTCGTTGCTCTGCGCTGTGTTGCCTCTAGCACATCGAGATCGCGTCTCAACAATTGTTACCGAATTTGTATAGCGTATTCAATGGGATGGCGAATGTAGGCTTGTGAATCACCGGGAAGCTTGATAGGTCTGAGGCCTCGAGAGCCTCCGCATCAGGCCGACTTGTTGGTTTCCTATTCTCGCAGCTACCTCGGACTGTTTTGAATAGTTGATATCACCCCAAAGCCGCGTTATTGGCAGTTGGTCTGCAGAGCTGTGCGCCCCAAGCCCGTAAGTGTAGGCGTGACTACGGAGTAGTTAAACAACATGACATTATTCCTTATTGAATAACAGAATGTGCTGAACTGACCAGTTCGAAATCTCCCGAAAATCGCGCTGGAGCTCTTCATGGTCATCTGATTCCCTAGTCGATCACTATATCTATATATCTCCTGTGAAGAAAACTGAAGACGAGTACTCTCGCTAAATCATCTATGAATCTCTTAAATAGGCGGTGCCCCTTCCTTAAGCCTTGTGGTACGTCATGCCCGATCTCAAACGCCTCGGACAGGGAGTCCTGGACTCTTACTTCCAAGCCACTTCCATGCAGAAAAATGGCCATCTTACCGTCTTGGGTCGTTAGTGTCATATTTTCGAAGCTTACGGAGGGGAATTCGATGGTCTAAGCCAGGGGCGTCCAAACCTTTTGCAAAAAGGACCACTTTTCGGGCCATTTCAGTCTGACATTAAAATAAGAAACCAAAAGGACATCTAATATATAATTTTATTACAAGATTTTGTTGTGAATGGTAAAAATGAGGTCTGAAATTCTTTTGTAATTTTTAATTTAGTTATGATCCTTTATTACTAGCTTGACTTTTCCTAGTTGGTTAACAATAAACAATACTACACCATCTAATTTTGCCGGTATCTGTCGACACCTAATTATGTACTCGTAATGTTCTTAATTTTCCTGACCTAAATAAAGTCGTAGGTACAGCAAAAATACAAGCTTGAAGTTATTATTTCATGATGAGGATGCGGGTCAGTTGAAATGTTAACGCGGGCCGCACTTTGGACATCCCTGGTCTAATCGGTCAATCGCTATATAGAAATGCAGCTAAACAAGATAGATTCCCAAACCACCATCAACCGTTTCGCTACAGTTACTGTGTGTGATAAATAGTATAGTAATACATGAGTGGTTTTGATGGAAACCATGTTGCTTCGGTGCTGTTATGCTGTGTTTTCAAGGCTGGTACTTCTGTGATGATCGGCGCCATAACTTTGGAAAGCACAGGAAGCAGCGTTATCGTCGGCAATTAGAGAGTCAGTGCGATTACTTCCGATGTGAATATAAATGGTGATTGATCGTTTCCACATCGGTTGTACTTTGTCCTCCTCTGGATAGCGCTGACAGAATATGGCCAGCGGCTCGACTAATTCACTGACTGCCACCTGCAGATCATTCGTTTAAGTGTTATTGACTCCTGGCGAATTGCGTGTACGTAGGAATAACAGCTTCTTTAACATGCCATCTGTAGTGAAAGTGAACTTCGTTAAACCCGATGGTGAGGCGATAGAAAAAGGAAGTAGGTTTGAGTTAGCTACCTTCTGGAGCGTATGCGATTAATGAAGTTGCTAAACATCGGCCGCTTCTTTCTTCCATTGTGTGTGCCTGTCAATTGTAACGGTGGTGGTATTCTGTGCTGCATCAAACAAAAGTCAGATGCCTTTATAAGGGTATGCGGTTCGTGCAGAATTGCTTCCTGAATTCCTCCTGATGTAGCGCCTTGCCCTAACACTGTAGTTACGCTGTACCACAAATGCAATCATGTTTCAACACTGGGAAATCTCTTGTGAATTTACCATGCCAACGTTTTCAATGATATATGTGGTTCGCGGCATCCGTTTCGGATTTGCGTATCACTGTGGCCAGCCACAGGACGACTGCGCCTACAGAGGGACCATGGGTGGTTTGCGCTGCACCACCCACAGCTCCAACCACACACCCCATATCCAGTGTAAACACATAGGAATAAGACCGGGAGGCTTGCGGATGGGAGCCACGTTTCATCAACGGAGCCGGCCCACACTCCTTCACTGGCAAACACAAGCTCGCTGTAGTTGGGAATCACTCGCACACAAGGCGGTGGCTGGGACTTAGTCCGCTCCACACTGAGTGCATGGAACCGCTCTTCGAGCCTAGCACGGCCACAAGGACCATGCACGCCGTACTCTCCAGCAACGACCAACTGTCTCCTGGAGCCAGTAAGAACAAGATAGTGGGTAAAAGACAGGTAGGCACCTTATCAACATGCACATCAAGCGCAGCCACACTGGGGATATCAAGCAACAGCCAATCACTTGAAACGACTGGATACCAGTGAAAAGTCGCACGTGTGTGCGGTTCGACTTCGAACGTGTATTAAGGATAATAAGCGCAGTATGAATACAAAATGCATTTTCCTCACTTTTGATTGTAATTGGGAGGATATCAAAGACAACTTTTATCACCATCTTTCATCCGTGTGGCTAAAAATACTGACACCGCGATTGCTGCTCGGGACATGACTGCCCAGGTGGATAGTCTTCCAGGCCCTCAGCTACATTTGTGAGAGCCACGCTGGAGTCGATACAAGCCGAACAGACAATGGTGATCGATTCCTGCCCCTGTGCGCCGATCACAATCGTTACTTTAGCAGCGCTGCTTTCCAGCACAAACATGCACGTCACGTCACCTGACGCCCACCTAATTCCTCAATGTCCTGGACCCAAATTGACCGTATTGCCATCAGCTGCAGATGGCGCACATCAGTCCAAGCCAGTCGGTCAATTTGGAATACGTGTCTGGATTCGGACCATGATCTAGTGCGCGCACAACTGGCGCTCAATCTTTACGCTTCACAGAAGCACTTGACCTCCGACTTTCCTACCTGTAACTTGAACCCGCAGTCTGCAGTTCAACAATATCACGAAGAACTGGCCAACTAATTGTCAGTGATGGACGAAGCTGGTGAGGCGAACTATGGCTGAAATCGTCTACAGTGTGCCGTATATAAAGATTTTAGCACGTGCTCTATACCCTGCTTGAGACGTCTCAATTTTGAATGGCATCGATCAGTTGGATCGACACATGGAAACTGGTACCAAAGGGCACTGAGTATCAGTGTGTATTTAATGCCTTGAAACGACATACGACTAGGAGTCTTGACTGAGAACCTTGATGTGTGGCAAGAGCATGTGAGATGGCGAAAGGCAGTGCTATTGGGAACAGCCGTGTGTTATTTTAGCTGAGAAATATGGACAAGTGAAGCATTTTCAGCCTCTTAGATTAGCCCATTTGACGGAAAGCTTTGAACAGCTGTTCAGCAGACCTGGTGCGATAATCCTGCTAGCGGAATCACCTGACTCAAGGTCGGGATGTGATGCCATAACTCCTAGTTTGAAAGTGATTCGATATGGGCTTGCCTAGTTAAAAGAAAACAAGGCTACTGGACCCGAGCACCATCCTCCATATGTGCTGAGAGATGGAGGTGACTCATTGTGGACTGCAATTACTTCTCTGTTTAACACGAGCTTGGAAACTGAAGTGTCCCCTTCAGAGTGGCGACTATCAACTGTCGTGCACATCTTCAAGCAGGGTCAGCGTACTTTGTGCGAAAATTATCGAGGCATTAAACTTTTTTCAATTATCTCCAAATTTCCCACAGGCATAGTTCTTCGATGACGTATTGGTCCCGCTGAGAGCTAAATCTTTGAAAACCAGACTGGCTTCCACTCTGCTTGTGGTTGCATCGACCACATATTTACTCTTCACCAAATGTTAGAGCAGTGACATACATACAGACGATCGACTATGGTGGTTTTCTTTGACCTGC